TAGTATTAGTTTTGTTCTATAATGGCGTATGGTACTACTATACTATACTAAGATAAGAAAAAAATATTTAGAAAAAATTTATCAACAACAAAAAGTCAACAAAATTAATGACTTACAATACTACATTTAAAATTCAATACTACATTTAAGATACAATACTACATTTAAGATTACAATAGATGCTGAAAGTGCCCTCCATTGTTATCAATGCACAAGTAATATCTTCGTCTCAAATTTTCTAATGCGTCAGATATTGTGTTATTATGACCATTTAAATTTTCAATTTCCGCGCGAACTTTTGTCGTGATAGTGTTAATATTTGTATTTGAATCAAAATACACTTTTTCTTTTAAAAACTCCCATAAAAAGCTATCACATGGTGTTAAGTCGGGACTATTTGGTGGCCATGTAATGGTACCCTTATTGCCGATTCACACATTAAATTGATTATTTAAATGTTCTTGAACGGCTACGACATTATGTGGCGGTGCTCCATCTTGTTGCCATATCATATTATTTAATTGATTTTGTGTATAATTTTGTTTTAATAACTCATCCACTTCTGTAATGACTGTGTCCAAATATGATTCCCCAGTTAATTTATAATCATAAAACAATGGTCCAACTATTTTGTTTTGAAATATTCCGCACCACACATTTATTGATTTTCTTTCTGAGTTTTTTATTTGCTTAATTTTTCTTTTTCTATTATTTTTCTGTTCCCACGAATACCTATTTCTTCTATTAAAAATGCCTGAAGTTGAAAAATTTGATTCATCTGTCCATAAAATGTTATAAAAGTAATTAGGATCATTGTTTAAATTTGTAAGCATGTCTTGACAGAACTGTAAATGCTTTCTCTTATAAACATCGGTAAGTTCTTGTACCGGTAATATTTTTTACGGCTTATAGTTGTCCTTTTTTAAAACTCTTATGTATCGTCGCATGGCTTTTCTCTAATGCATTATTAGCATTGTTTAGACTAGTTTTGGAATTTTCTAAAATAAAAATGTTATTATGGATCTAATCTATTATTTAAGTAGGGGAGAATGGGTTACAGTGAACCACTTTTTATTTGGAGTGGTGTAACTCAGGAAAAAATATGCATATATGTCTGAAATTTGGATGATGAATGCTATAAGGTACGAACTTCTGCTCTCATAAGTGAAACATGATATAACCAGATGTTTGGTACTAGTTAAAATATATATTTTTCAAAGCGTCACTTGGTTCAGTGTGCCCCCGTCCTTGTGAACAGTGAACCAGGCTATGGGTAACAATGAACCAAATGGTGGTACAGAGAATCAGCAGGTTTCTTGGAGAAAAGAAAACGCATGATATAGCAAAACCTTTGATAACTCACTACTAGTACAAACTAGCGTATATCTATTTGAGTAAAATTTAATTTGAATGAATAGAATGACTGTTGTCGTTTAGTATTCCCACAAATAGTTGGTTTTGGTAATATCAATTTTACGTCTGACAGTGCAACCGGAGATACGTCTAAAACGTCTGGCAAACGGAATGTGTTTTCCATTTTATAGTTTCTTCTTAAAAAACTTACTTCTACTTCTTGTTCCTTGGCCTCTTGTAATACCTTAGCAACGTAATAGACTTTACCATTCTTCCCATTGAATTCAACCAACACATAGTCTCCTTCACTGGGTAATTTTTCTAATGGATTAAAAGAGTCGGAGGTCATAATATTCTCCTCATCACCGCTTTCATAATAGTCTTCTACCTCAGAATGAACACTGAACGTATCTTCTTCATCTGTTGTATCTTCTGGTTCTTGAAACACTTTTTTCTTTATGGGATGCGCTTTCTTCTTTCTCTGCTTTTCTGCTTCGCGCTCCTCAATTTCCATTTTTTCTGGGGTGTCCGTGGCTATCATAGATTTACCCTTTCGTCTTGGTTTTCTGGTATTTTTTCTCGGCCCAGCCTTTGGCAGCCCTCGAAATTGATCCGGAGTTACAAATTCCAAAGATATTTCAGCCTCAGAGTCAGGAGTTCTACTTCTACTATGTTCGGCTCCGACTGCCAGTGGATTTTCTGAATTGAAGATTTGGCCATCTGGAGTATTCCCATTATTTTCAGTAATGGGCCTGTTAGTAACTTCACTTGGCAAGAAGTCTATGTCGGTAAAAACATTTCTATCGTACGGGAAGATGCCGGTATTCTTAAAGGAACTACAAATATTTGACGGAGTCATTGCCTTCATATGTGCATCCCCAACGCAAGCAGCTACCTCATAAATTGTTAGAGGTTTTCCTGGATTCCGCATCATCCAACTGTCTACAGCTGCATTGTAAGCAGTTTTGAAAGGTTTATAAAGGCAAACGTCTAAGGGTTGCATCTTTCCGGTAGAATGAGGCGGAACTGTTAATATTGTCACACCATTTTCCTTTGCCAATTCAATGGCTTTTATGCAAATATGAGCTTCAAAGTTGTCCATTATCAGTAAGCTGGGGTTTTCTTTGCTAGTGTTTGAGAATTTAATAAAGTGTTCCATCGTGTCTACAAATAGTGTGCTATTCATCCACCCAGACTGTGTCGCCAATCCTAACGTTCCGGTGGGAGCCCCATTTGTCATGTGATGCTTAAAATGGACACGAGGAAAAATCATGACTGGTGGTAAAAAATTGCCGGAAGCATTGACGATACAACAGGTTGTTACTAATGTTCCCTTTTCACCACTAGTGACTTTGCTGACCTGTTTTTGTCCTTTCGCTGCGAGCACCTTTTGAGATTTTTGCACGGTCAGGGAACTAGTTTCGTCAAGATTATATATCCTAGTCCCATCAGCAAATTCGGGCTTACGTAACATAACTTCTTGTAACTTATCATAAAATATGTTCACATTATGTCGGTTAAATGACGTAGCTCGGGACAGGCTACATCCTTCAGGTGTCCTAAGGCTTAACCGGGATGTCGCTTTCTAAAATTGTATAGCCATTCCATGCCAGCAAGCTTTCGATCATTCCATTTTTCAGGAATTTTGACGTTGTTGACTATTGCCATTTCGTAGGCCAGCTGGCGACATTCCAGCAGTGTTAACCCGTAAAACATTTGGCTACATTTTACAATATAATTGGCCAGTGCTTCTTCCTGGATGGCTGTGAAAATTTTATTCACTTCATAATTAGGAGTTAGCCGTATTGGTTCATCTGTATTTTTAAATTTTTGCCAATATCTTCTAACAGTCGGATAAGGAATCCCTTTAAGTTTTGCCACACTTCTTATGCTTTGATTTTCTCTCGATATGAGGTCTAAAGCACTTCGCATCTGCTCTTCACTGTGCATGCCAATGTTTGTTTTTCTAACTCGGTTGCGTGGCATTTTGAATCTGAAACAATAAATAAACGTAATCATAAACCAAATTATGATTAATGAAATTAAATGCATACATTCTAAGGGCCGGTTGTTCGAACGCTATTCAAAAATGATCATTACCAAATATTTAATTACTGTCACCAACTGTCAATGTCAATTTTTATTGGGTTGCTGAAAACATAATCGATTACCATTATGAAATTAGTTAATCAATTATGTTAATAATTGTTATGTTAATTGATTCACTAATCTCATAATTGTACTCAATTTATTATGTTTTCAGCAACCCAATTAAAGTTGACATTGACAGTTGGTGACAGTAATTAAATATTTGATAATAATCATTGTTGATTAGCGTTCGAACAACCGGCCTTGTATAACATTTGCACAGTAAACCATTATGGGTTACAGTGAACCAGGTTCAGTGTAACCCATTCGTCAATGGTTCGCTGTTACCCACCGCCACCTATTTAACTAAAAAATTTATTTAAACAAAAATAAACTACATTGATTTGAAAGACAAGATAAACAGTATGTACAAAGACCTATTAAGTAGCTTGGAACTATAATTGATCTGAATTTACCGCCAGGCTTGGAACAAAACAAATAAATACAACAATGTGAAAAAAAGCATTCGACTTACCGTTCAGCAGATATCGAAATAAACATCTACACACTATGTTAGCTTGATGCGAACTAAAGTAGTAAGGTGTCGCGTAAAACCAGCAGATATTTGAAGAATAGAGTTGGGCGATAAAGTGCATAGGCAAAGAGTGGGGGCTGCTGGTTCACTGTGTAACATGGTTCACTGTGACCCAAGTTCCCCTATTTAATTTTTACCTTCGAAGTAAAGCAAAGTATTAAGATTTTCCTATGATAGTACGTTTCTTCCGTTCAAACATTTTTTCATTTATGAAATGACGATAATTATATAAAAATGCATTTGCAGAAGGAGTCTGTCGATCTGGATAAATCAGCCAATATTTTCTTCTTTCCGCTTGCTTGTTTTTATTATTTTTTTACATAAATTGAGAATAGATCTACTTTTTCATCTGCATTATAACCCATTTCGGTATGAAGACTGACAGTTTATAATAAATTAATAATTGTTTCATTTTGAAAGGTCTGTTGCATAGCCACCTATGGTTACCCTTTTGTAGTACCATATGCCATTATAGAACAAAACTAATGCTACACAATGTTATATATTGGTAATCAGGAAATGCAGGGCTACTCAAAACTATAAAAAAATACCGGGTGTCCCATTTGAAATATTGAAGATGCAATTTATTGGGCACTCCCTGTATACAAAATTTGGTCTGTTGCTACATTGATGGTCGGTACAGATAAAATAATACAACTTTTATTTGAAACTTTTTTTGTATTCCCGAAATTAAGGAAAATAAGTGGGGGTCAAAATACAATGAGAAACCCGGTACCTCCGTTAAATTTTCTGATACTGACTTTTACCAGTGCTCATATCATATTTAAAGGTCTATTCAAGTACTTTAAAATGGTAGCCAAATGCTTGAGTGACTGTTCTATTTGACGACAATTTGCATTTGATATTTCCTATTTACGAATTTGTAATTAAAGTTTAAAATATTTCAATTATAAATGAATTTTAATTTTTTTTTGTAATTTACATGTATGTATATTAATTTTAGGCTGAAATTTTAACTGCATTAAGACAATTAAACGAACAATTAACCACAGAGGAACTAAGATTTTTGGAACAACATAACCACATTGCCAAAGCATTTTTAGATTTTAACTTTATAGAAGTGCCGGATGACGAATAAACAGATTTGATGTTTAAATATTTTCTTTTATACGTAACCAAATATATAAGCCATTGGGTAGAATAGGAAGTAAATATGAAAAGTGAATTTTTAATCATAAATAAGAAACTGTATGGTGGTACACCATGGACGTATTGGTACACTGATATAATTATTAGTCATCTGGTAAAATTTATTTTTTGGTTTAAAAAGGTTGTGGCATATTTCGAAATTAGCACTATTCGACTTAACAACACGCTCCCCTCCGTGCTTGAACACTCCGACACCACTTTGGAAGTGATCACATATGATTTCGATGTTTTGATAGCTGCTTGACTATCTAACATTATACTAATCTCTTGATCCCGATATTGTTTGTTGTATATGTTAACTGAGCACATCTTAAAATAGCGTAAACTTCTGCTTGAATGATGCTTGATAGTTTATCCAGCCTTTCTGCTTGTTTCGTTCTAGACCCGAGACACCATTTTCGTCATAATCAAGCATGTCTATTTTCTTTTTGTTAAGTTACAGCAATTTGCAAGTACATGTTAGCCTTATGTATTCTAATTCTAGCGATAGTTACTCCGTGAAAACTATGACTTTTTGCAGATGACAATTTCTTTTGTTGGATCATCAGTATCAATAACGCCTATTTTGTAATAAAAGGAGCAGCATATTCATAATTTGGAATAGTACTGTCGAAATATGTATTCATATGCTATATATGTGTAGCATATATGTTTACTAGGATAGACATGTTCAAAATATGTACAACCAAATGACTATAAATATTCTGAATCGCTGAAACTAGTCTCTGACACAATAAAATCCAGAACATTTTTTTCTCTCCATAGCCACTTATACCATATGAATAAATCTTGAGGTTAAATAAAGAAATACCAAGAAACGATATACTGCAATCTACACCAACTAGGAAAGTAGAAATAGTGATTAATAATGGTTTTAAACCATTTCCTCTTTTATTTTATGTTCTTTTTTGGCTGCCTGGTACATTTAAGTGGAACGTCACTGATTATTAACTGAGAACGATCTATTAGGAAGTACGAAAGTACTTGAAAGTGCAAAAACAATATTTTTCAATGGCAAAAGTTGGTTTTGCGAAACTCTCTTATAGTCGTTTCACTGAGCTTGAGAATATTCTGACAGAGTCATTGTCGGAAACATAAGATAAAAATTCTTACCACTCATTATTAATACCTGAAATAAACATTACTGCTTACTTGTTTAATTGAAAAAAGAATATTTATGAATAATGGAAGTGAATATTCGTTCGTTATAAATATACTAATCTATAAACGACTACAAATTTCAAAAATAAACATTTAAATCTTTGTTTTGATTGATGATTTTTTTTATTGATAAACTGCAAAAAAAATGCATGTGAATCCTGTTTTAAATTTCAATGAATATTCGCTATGAGCACGTGTGCTTGGTTGTATAGTAACTTTCAGCCACTTCCAAATTAATTATAAATTTACTAGAATCGGATTCACGAGAAGAAATCAGTGCTGTCCTTATTTTGCAGCGACTGGAGTTGTCTACATTAGCCAATTTATTCCAGTTTTTAGGTACTGAAAACTTGCCTCTTACCCTCTCACGTCTGCTACATAACGCACATATTGTTCGCTATGTACCAAGTGGTTCACATTGTGTCTTGGAGACATGAGAGTAGGATTTAGTAGCAAAGCTGAGTTGTATTCCTAGAACTCCCAAGCAATTTGTTGCGATCCAGTGAGCATTTCTCAAAGTTTTATTACAATCGGGATATTGACAACTCCTTTTGCCTCCAAGATCCTTTTCCAGAATTTAACCACTATGATATTTTCCTTTCAGTTGTTCTCTTCACCATCATGGAACCTTACATATACAAGAGTTATCTTAAAGCATTTGCATGTTATATAAGCTCAACAAACAAATTCCTAAAATATTACTTCTAGAGCTATTAATTTATAACTTTTCAACTAATATTTAAACACCGCAATGGTTTACTTTACCTTCTTCTAACAACACTTTATCTGCTGCCTTAAAAAGTTTTCTTGTTCAACCTCAGATTTCAGAGTCTGGATGAAGATTTTTGTTTGATACGAGTATAGCTATTCTGTCATTTTAAGCTCGTTAGTATTGAGTGTTTTAATAATTCCAAAAGCATGTACCTAACAGTGTTGGATTAGTACAATTGATCCTAGATGTCAAACCATTTCGAACACTAAGTGTATAGGTCAAATGTTTTTGTTATATAAAATTCACTTTAAGAATTTACTGGAAGTCAAATTTGTTATTAATTTTTTATGAATGTTATATGCTTTTTATGTTTATTATTTCTTGTAATAACTTGATGTCGCAATGAAAGCTTTTAAATGTGTAAAATGTAAAATAAAACCGTTTGATACGAATTTATACTTAATGCATATTAGTATGAAAGCTTTTAGATGTGTAAAAAAACCGTTTTATACGAATTTTTTACTTAATGCATATTGGTATAATAAAAACCTATTAATATTAATATTTTCTTGTGTATTATTTTATATCCTTCCTATTTGCCCATAGCCTTTATTACTCCCTTATGAAAACAAAGTTTTATATGTTGATATTGATTTTCAGGATTTTAAATATAAAATTTTCTTGTATTTTTTCGTGCAACGCGTTTCGATGCAACCATTTTATACTTTCTTCCAAGTCCTTTCCGGTCGTGTTTTTTGGTTCTATATTTGTTTCTTGTTTAACTGGTCTATTCTGACGTATTTTTTCTTTACTTAATGTATATTTTTGTCTATTGTAGGGAGTTGTCACTATTGTAAATTGAGCTATTTCCTACACACCTTTCTTCTTCTTGTGAAAACGGCTTGTGAACAAACTGGATAGTTACCAACCTTGCGAACATTCTGGGTTCCGCTCCAGATACGGAACAAATGATCATCTACAAATTATAAAAACGCTAATAGAAAAGTGTACAGAGTATAACAAGCCTATCTTTCTTATATTCGTAGATTATGAAAGGCGTTCGATACTACAGATCATCATAGAATGCTTCGAGCATTGGCTGACTGCCGCATTGACTACCGATATATCGCCTTGATTAAAAATATTTACGAAACTGGTACAGCTTGTGTCCACCTTCATGAAGATACCAAGAAGTTTCGAATAGAACGTGGAATTAGACAGGGTGATACTATCTCCCCTAAATTGTTTACAGCTGTTCTTGAATATATGTCCAAGCAAATGGAACGAGAGGATAATATGGGAATTAATATAAATAGGGAAGATCTGAACCACCAAGATTTGCCGATGACATCGTTTTAACATTTGATAGAGTTGATAAAGCTGCAAAAATACTGCACACGCTCTATAAAGTGTCAAAAACAATTGGTCTTAAAATTAACACCTCAAGGACAAGATTTATGACCAACCTTGTAGTCAGCGGTAAAATTCTGATTGAGACCATAGCATCGACCAAGTAATAGCTGCTTACAAATATTAGGGCATGAGATTCGCTTAGGCCGGATAATAAGACAACTAAATACAAAGAAGGATAGGAATGGGCTGCCTTTGGTAGATTGAATAACATTTTCAAGTCTTTTATCCCAGTTTGTTTAAAAAGAAAGGTTTTTAACTAGTGCGTTTTACCGGTTCTTACATATGGTGCAGAAATACTGACTCCGACAAAAAGAACAATAGATAAAATAAGAGTTACACAACGCGCTATGGAAATATCAATATTAGGTATTACCATCAGAGATAAAGTACCAAATCTAGAAATTTCAGTCAGGATCCCAACTCTCTATTTCAGTCCCAGGATCCCAACTATCGTTTAGCAGACAACTTAAGTACATATTTAAACTAGTGAACTTGCTCGATTTCTTCTCCATCTACATATATCTTTGCGTCTGGGTAATAAGAAGAACAGGAGTCACAGATGCAGTTAAAAAATAGCCATGGCTAAATGGGCTTGGACCGGACATGTTGCTAGATTAACGGATGATAGATGGACCAGAAATCTGGAATGGCGACAAGACAAGAGGCATATCGAAGCAGAGGACGACCACCGACTAGATGGACGGATGATATCAAGCGCATCACCACAAACTGGATGCAAAAAGCTCAAAATAGAAATAGGTGGAAAATTTTACGGGAGTCCTACGTTCAGCAGTGGACAAATATAGGCTAATAGATGATTTCTTCTTCTTAAAGGGTCGTGCAATTCTGCGAAGGCGTCCACCGTACATTGTCTTGTCAGATGACTTGTTAGATAGTCAGGATTAAACTATTCTATTTTTACCAACATTGCGAAGCATAACTGTGGCGATTCATGTTCATTGGCAAATATACCGCAGCCATTCTATCCTTCTAAGACTAGTTGTTTGAAAAGTGTTTCATTCTTCTCCTAAGATGTGCCCTAAATATGAAGTCTTCTTACTTTTAATATAATCAAAAAGTTCCCTATTCTGGAGGCCCGCTCTTCTTAATACTTCCCCATTTCTGACTCTGTCCTTGCATTTTGTTAATGGATCTGGATACTTTAACGTCCATGCTTCCAGTCCATACAAGAGAATAGGCCAAACGTAACACTTTAGTATTTTGTACCTCAGGTTGAAATCCAACAAGTTTAAAAAAGCAGTTAGTTCTGGCTTATTCTACTCTGCTCTCTATTTCAGTCTCAGGATCCCAACTATCGCTTAGTAGACAACTTAAGTATTTAAACTATCAACTTGCTCGATTTCTTCTCCATCTACATATATCTTTTCGATTGGGCAACTATTTCTACCCAAGTATAATCATTGTTTTTGTCTTCTTGATATTTATTTTGAATCCCAGAGCTTCACTTGCACGAGTTAGATCATTTAAAAGATATTGAAGAACTTCGATGTTATCCACTGTGACCATATATTTTTTAGAGAATCGACCAACAATCAGGAAATACCAAATGATACTACGCATGCGCCATTGCAAAAATGGTTTATATATCTGACGTGGTGACGTGAGAACTGATAGTAGCGCCCTTTATTGCAAATACGCAGTTTAAATGTTAAATTGGTATCATAGATATCGTGATTACTTATTTTTGTTTTTTTTTTTTTCATATTATTTTTACTAAGAAACCAGGAATCTTGACAATTTCCTTTGAAATATTTTTCAAAATAAAAAAGGATTTGTTCTAATCATTTATTTCTATTTATTTACATTTACTACATATAAAGGCTTTTGAAATATTAGGCGTAACTACTCAGGCTTTTTTTTCTTTTTAATGTTGATTAATATTTCTATAAAATTTTGAATCTTTCATTGATTTTACCATATTAAGATTAGAGATGAAGTTAGTACAATCCTTTACTTCTCGCAAAACCTCATTGGCATGCATAATCAGAGAAACATTTTGATTCTAAAACATATTCCGATCCTTTTAATTCTGTTAATATCCGAAAAGATTCGTTGACATTTAACATTATATATTGGAAGAGACAGCATATGTTTGGCAAATCGATCTATCTCTATTTTATACTCGACACTTCTCTCGAAAAATGTAAAAAAATAAAAAATTTAATGATAAATGTCTCTGTAAAAACTACTAGAATCTAACAAGAATTTTTTCCTTACTACAAATTTTTAAGCAAATCTTAATGTCTTTTCTTCTATTTCGGTTTAGTTTCCAACTTTTGCATTCTTGCAATTTACTTGCAATCGTTTACTTGCAATCTTTTACCTTGCAATTTATAGAAGGCAGATATTAAAGCAAAATCTGAATTTTGGTTTCGTCAAAGAAATCTTCCAATTCCGGCCCTGAATGTCAGGCATGAAAGTCGACTTAATTCAAGCTCTACAACTTTTATAGTTTTTAATAGAAAAAGTATAAATTTAAATAATTAAAAGTTTTATATCAAAGAAGTTTACAGTGATTGGTTATGTGCCGTAAGTACTTCTTTCCAATTAATCATAGTTTGATTAGAATTATCCCTTTTAAGCATTAGTAACATATTCCCATCAATAATTCTAGTTACAAATTAACTAAAAAACCAGTTTTACTCTTATCGTTATTCAGCTAATTTGGTAATTACCAGATCGATGAACTAATTTTAAAATAAACAGAGTCGAATTTTATTTGATTTAATCTATATATAAAATAAAGTCCTGTTAAGATCGCATATAGAGGATTCATCATATCCATAATATCAGATGGAAGTTCCAAGGTAATTAGCTCTGTACCACAACATACCAACACAGTTAAATCCTACTCAAAAGTTCTAAGACAACATAATACTCTAGTCCTGAACAAGCGATCGTTTACTCTTCAAAGGATGGATTAGGCCTACACGACTACCTCATATAACTAGGAGCACTTATACAGCCCAAAAACATCTAATTTTCTTCAAGGCTGTCCAATAATCGAGTATGCATGTATCTAGCGAGCAAAGAAATTCTCAATTCCCCATGATATTCGTATTCACGAATTAGAAAACCTAGGTCTCAAGCTAATGTCATCAATGACCTTTCTTCGTATTAGCTCTACCTTACCGGAATTCAGTCATATTTACAGTTTTAGATTAATCACGACAACAAAATCCTATCGAATCTTCTTATCCCAAGATAACCTGTTATGCTTTAACTGCAAACAGCAAGGTCATAATGCTAATAATTGGACATTGGACAATAAATAGACACCATAGAAAAACTTCTCAATTAGCAGTATTCTTCCTTTACAAACAGTACAAACCCTGAACATGTCGAACCAAAAGAATCATCAGTTACAAATACCATTACACCTCCAGAAAATAACAGCGCATTATCACTAGCTATCACCTTCACCAACATATACACCAGCTCTGTCAGAAAAAGACAAACAAACAGAAATAAATTTTAGGAAACCTACACAAAAACCCAACAGAAAAACCCAAGAAAAGTTCTGATACTGACCTAAAAACAATAATAAATGAACATTCACCACCATATATCCTTATCACGACCAATTTATAGATCTGTTAGAAAACGCATCAGGTTCTCCAAATATGACCACTATAACTAATTATACACATGATTTTACTAGATTACTAGGAATGATTAGTAACTTATATGCTCACATAATAGATAGATCTCTTAAAATCAAATGTACCAAACTTAGAAAAAAAAAAAAAACCAAAAAACACCTAAATGACGAACTCTCTTCTACCGACAACGAAAATGACCTTTTACTTAACACAGACCCAGAGTCTTAATACAATTAAAACTTTTTTACAACTAGAAAGTAAAAATGGCGTCGTTTAATTCAATTATTCACTGGAATATAAACGGATACTGTAATAGCTTACCGATGTTAAAAATTCTACAATAAAAATAAATATTTGCACGATTTACTTACCCCCAGGTCAACTAATTGATAAACAGGATCTTTTTAACCTAGTAAGGCAA